GGGGGATATATCCCCCCTCCTATAAAAAATTACCAAATTTTGGACAACACTGCACTATACCAAACTGGCTCTCACCAAACCTGACTCTAAGATAGGCCCTTTCTTTTTTCCCTTCGTTGTACCATCATCGCTCTGATGCTAAATAATCAAAGCAAAAGGGGAACAGGTTGTTCTTTCATTCCTACACTCCACTGCAGGCCCGTAGAAACTTGTAGCAAGGAAGAACTGATAGTTCAGCTTCATAGAAGCACAAGCAGCATTCACTGAAATGCTGCAGTTTTATTCCAGTCTGCCTATGCAGCAACTTAGGGGGTGGGAAAGCAAGGGGAGCTTGTGACATCCCATCTGGACAGAAACTCAACATGTGCCCACTGGGACGTATAATGTTGAATGGAGTCATGAACTTCTAGAATGGGTAGGGATGTGTCAGCCCCTCCAGGTAGACAAGGCCAGAAATCAACTCTGCAGGAAGGCTCAAATTGTTTTTACTGAGAGCAGGTATAGTAACCGAATCTTGCAAGTCTGATTGTGCTGTACCTCCTGCCCTTCCTATACCCATGCAAATTACAGAAGGCCCTGTCTGAGCTGTTTCTGCATACTTTCTGCTTGTTTTGGACTTAAGCCATGTTTTCCCCCTCAATGCTTTGGTAACGAACCTGGCCTATCTCTGTCAAAGTCATCTTCCTTGAGCTCTGCACAAAGTTCATTGATTTAATGGGCCCTCGTATGATCAATCCTGCAAGGTAATAATAGTTTAAAAAGTCAGCTGCCTGCCAGTGGAAAACATAGCAGCTTGGCAGCCCAGAAAATAATGGCTGCAGAGAGCAAAGATTAACGGGTGGAGAGAGGGGGTATGGCAGGCCCTGTAGTCAATCGGAGCTGGAGCTGCCAGTACTGCAGACCATCTGCTCGGATGGACTTAAAACGGATTAGGATGGAAAACAGCACTTTTAAAGCAGAAGCAGGAATGGGAGGGGCATGACATCATCCATCTCTACACTCTGGAAGTGGTGGGTGGCCTGTACTGACAATGGGGAAAGCAGAAAGCAGAGGTATCCGGAAATCAACACTTGTTGCCTAGCAAAAGGGAGAGAAATTGTAAATAAAAGTGCTGCTTTTTCATCAGCTCCCTTTGTGACTCCAAACTGTTTCTTCCTCTTTTTTAATGCCACTCAACAGGTTATGGGAAAATGGGTTATGGGAGGTGAGGCACAGGAAGGACTCAAATACTGGGCAGATACCTGAACTCAGCGCTCCCCAGCTCCCATTTCTCCTGCACTGCTGAGATTGTTGGATGTTTTCCAAACAATTGGTCAAATGCTGAAGTGGGAGGGCAGCAAAGCAGGGGGAGTCAACCAATCAATCTGCTTATCAGGTGCTCCACGTGCGTAATGAGGACAGCACTGCTCAGTCATGCTACTGGGCAAAATGCAGGCAAGATATAGATCAGCAACAAGACATCAAATGTCAAGCTAGCACCATATTCTGCCACTCACTATTGGACGGAGAACACTTTAACTCAGCAGTAGGAGAACGCCCTGAGATTCTCACGGCTAGAAAACCTACAGGTCAAACCTTGTTAAAAAATACAAAGGTTTCCTATGAAATCATGTGTGTAAGGACAGCAGATGCCCAGCAAGGTGAACAACATAGCCACCAAAGGCCCTACTTCCCTTCTGGTCTATGGGTAAAAAAAAATGAGGAAAATGCATTTCTTTACATAATTTGTTTACAAGTTAGAGTACAGTGGGAGACCCAAATTCAAATCCACCCTAGTAATGGAAGCTCATTAGGAGTCTTTGGGCAATCATTCTCTCTCAGACCAACCTATCCGACCGGTTTGTTCTGGGGAAAAAATGGGAGGAGGGATTTCTATGTACACTTCATTTCCAGAATAACAGTCTAACAAAAAAATCAATAAAGAGCCTTAACAAAGATTCTGCCTAGGTCTCAAAATCCTTTCAGAATCAGGCCTTGTAAAGGAATTTGAAGCTGACGTGGGAAAGGTATGAGATGGCTGTTAAGGGAGGAAGGGAGGAGCAAGACATTAAGGGAAAACTTGGAGAAGAGATTACACAGTCCTAAAATGAAGGAAGTATGAAAAAGAATATCAAAATAACCTTCCCTTGATTTTGTTTAGTATAACATGGATCAGAGAGGAACTTGGACAGGCTTTCAAGATTCTGTTAATATATCCTACAATAATAAAACAGCATTCTTGGAATCTCTCCAGTGTCCCTTTCTTGACCTGGCCCAACTATCTACTCTTTATCCCTACCCTTCCCAAACCAAATGTAAATTAGCCACCTACAGTAGAATCTGGGGGAGGGGGGTGTCAAAATAGGCAAGATGGTGGTCGCAACATTGCAACTGGAGCCGCGCCCCTTTGGGCATGCACCGCTGATGCACCATACAAAAGCGGCAGGGCTTTTACAGCAATCCCCCTACAAAGCAGATTAGATTAAGGAATGTTCTGCATATTCCACTTAGCAAGTTTGATGGCTCTTCCCGGTGGCCAAGTTTGAGTGCTACCCAGCAGTCCTGGAGCCAGCAGAAGAGCATGCAAGCAGACCACCTCCTGTCCCCATTGGCCATCCCTATTCTGCCACGTTACTTATTGTGAGCCAAATTAAAGAAAGGGGCTGACTTCATTTAATTTCCTGCAAGCATCACCCATCGGTGAACAACCACAGATCACTTTCCCTAATGTGGATTGAGGTGAGTTTAGAGGGATGCTCAGAACAGGAGTTTAGCTCCTGTCAAATTGCTCAACTAGCAGTTGCTAACACTTCACTACGGTGAAGTGGGAGGGTGGTCTCCTCACATCTGCTCCTCCACTTCCATCACCTGTCAGACTATTTCTGAATATAGGTATAGTGCTGTTCCAAAAGTGTACTAAATCCAGATTCAGAAATAGCCCAGTTGACAGGTTACAGGCATGGAGGAGGAGTGTAGGATGAAGTGGGGTGAAGTTCTGTTTGGCATCACTCCTGATAAGAGGTGCAGGGGCAAAAGGCCAAAGGTATGGACAGGAGCATGGGGTGAAGCAGAACTGAGCAACTGATCATGAGTTAGCTCTGCTCCTGACTAGTGCTGCAAGATCAAGGAATCCAGTTCTGTGCTAGAGAAGAGTTTTAGATCCACAAAACTGTACTTAGCCCAAACATCATAACCACAATCATCACCCTGGCCCGTGGATGGTGAAGGATGGTACCTGCTGTCTCACACCCAGCCTGGAATATAAGTAACTCTGCTGTGCTGTAAAACAGCTATAGAAAGTGCAGGTGCCCAAGACTGCCCCCAGGAGTATTTCCCGAAAAGGGGATAGTTTTAGTGCTCTTGTGCAAGTCTTCAGAGGTAGTAAAATAATGATAAAAATAATAATGGCCATATGAAACCCATTGTCAGCAGAAGCAGTGGAAAACCTGTAATGCGCTCATTGGTGACAGAACTAGCAACTCATGGCTCTGTCCGGTTTATGCCAACCTGTGTGTGTTTTCAGGAATCCATGCAAGGCCTGGAAAGTGCTATGCAACATCAGAGCAGCTTAAAGTGTCCAGTGGTAGGTAAGCAGTTCCCAGCCCTTGATCCCAACAGCAAATGTGGCCAATGAAGTGTGCCAGATCATATCTGTGGCACAATTGTGTGATGAGAAGAGAGAAAACACTTCTTTAAAACTGGAAGAGTTAAGGATGACTTTAAGCTGCCTCAGGTCTGAACTGGGGATGAGACAGTGGTAATTTCATGTAGACAAACCAGAAAAAAGTGGGTTACTGGAGCATTTTTAATTCCATGTGTGTTAACCTTCTGAGGCAGTCTGTGTTCTTCCAGAGTGAGCTAATCATTTATGTTCTTCTCTGAGATTTGTCTCATTATTTTAAAGCTGCTGCTGTCACAGAAGAGTATAATCTAGTACCACAAACAGTGGTCAAGTTGCCATAGAAAAAGATCCCTTTCATGGTTATTATTATTAGTAGCCTTGTTCCTACCTTTCATCTGGTCTCCCATGTTTTCTACTCCTCCGGTGTGATAGGGCTCCAGAATTTCTTCTAAAATGAGATGCAGCCACTTCCCTAAAGACAACCAGTGTTTTATTATGAGTGGATGACAATGCTCCTGTCTTGCAAAACTCCAGCAAGCTCTTCCTGTAGTTCAGATGCTACACACACACACACACACACACACCCACACACACACTTTCATACTGTGACTTTTAGCTGCCCAGTCCCTTCATTGAGTGAGAGCTAACAAGGGAGGAAATGGCAGTTGTATAGGGAAAATGTGGTTAATGCTTGGGCAAATCCAGATAAGGTAGGCCTGTTTCAAAGGAAGTCAGGTCATTTAGGGAAAGGGAAAGATAGGGAACCACAGATCTAGGAAACATGAACTAGAACAAGGGCTTCAAAATATCTGGGGACAATGAGCACGTCTGCAACTTGAAAGACTGTCACGGGCACTGTCACAAAATGGTTTCTAATGGGAAAGGTGACTGCTAAGGTGTTTTGAATTTCCTAGTCTGCAAAGCAAAACTAACATGCCCAACAACCTCTGTTCAAGGTAGGGTTATCTTCTAAGCCAGGGTTCCTCAACCGTGGCAACTTTAAGACAGGTGGACTTCAACTCCCAGAATTCCCCAGCCAGCCTTGGGGAATTCT